GTTGGTGTCAGTCATAATCGGCACACCCAACAGGAGGTTTATACACTTCTTTTTGTGACAAAGCGTCTGTGCAGAAAGTGTTGAGCTTTACATATTCAGAAAAAAACAACAAAAATAAACCAAGAAAGACCCAAAAACAGAAAAGTGGAAACTACCAATAAATAAATGAAAATGGTTTGCAGTACAAAGTACATTATGTCCTATTTATCATAATAACAGGAAAAACTGGACAAAGTTTAGAGTTTACATTGACTGCAAATAGCATAGTTGAAAAATACAAAGGTAGTTAATGAGAAAATGGGGGGGGGGGGACTTTATATAAAAGATCCCCTTACAAATGATTACCTGGTTCTCTCTGCGGTTGAGGTAATTCAAGGGCTCAGACACTATTTGAGAATTTACAGTATGGATACATGTTACAAACCCAGAGTAGCTAGCAATTAAACGAGCAGTAATTTTGGGAAAGCTAGTAATTTTTTAAATTCATACTATAACAAAACCTTCATTGTTATAGTTGTTCTAGCAATTGATCTTAATTACTGTGATACGTGCTGCTTAATGGTGTAAAAATAAGTTGGCAGCACTGATGTTTAAGCATTTTTATACAACACAAGCACAGACAGAAAACAGAAATCAAATAAATACAGGAGAACATTGCATTCACTAAAGAAACCAACTTTAAAGACTTTATCTCAGTGGTTTATGCCACTAATAGTGATTTATTATCTTGATGCAATGAGAACAGATCTAATAATTAGGATATCCGGATGTCGGCATTTTGAAAATCATTTTCTGAGTAACAAAATATCTTTAGCTCGGTCGTCAATTTCAAGCAAACCCTGCTGAGGAATCACAGGAAAAGACACTGAAGAAGTAGCCTGAGAATAATCAGGTTTGAACATTTTCTATAGTATCACAGTCATTCAGAGAGAGTTTTCAGTACAAATGAAGAACTGCTAATAAGAAACTCTGCAGGTGTAATTAACCAGGCTGTGAACAAATAAAGGCTAAAGAAACAAGACTTGCGTTGTAGTCCCCAGTTTGACTCATAAAATCCATAGCAACATATACTATGGTGCCTAATTAATTTCAAAACCTGTGCACATAAAAATCATGCAGATGCAAAAGAGAGGAGGAAAACCATTGTCGCAAAGAAACATTTCTGCTCTGCATGCGCAAATCTCGTTTCTGATGGGGATATCGATCAAGTCCAGTCAAGTTGTTGAGCTGACTTCTGGGACTTTGGAGGCAGAACAGTGGTTAATAATTGGTCTGTTTTGATTGGTCTGACCCTCTGATAGACGTCCTCAGATCTTGTACTTAAATAAAAGTAACAATTTGACAATGTAAAATCAGTTCATTATTTTATTTTTATTAAAGTAAAAGTGCAAGAGTATTAATATCAATATATACTTAAAGAATCAAAAGTAAAATTGGTCAATGTTTGGAATGGTCAATTTATTATTGATATATATATATATTGATATATTGTATATTGTATTAATTAATGCATTCATGTGTTCATCATTTTATTTTGCAGCTGGTAAAGATGAACTTGATTTTACTATTTACTGCTGGCTAGTTTGGGTAATTCCTTTTTTTACATTATATTTTTAATTATTAGTGTGAATATGCAAAGTAATGTAGTAAAGTAGTTATAGATAAAAATTATTAAATACATGTAGAGTAAAAAGCACAATATTTGCCCCTGAACTGTCGAGTTACTGCAATAATCAAGCAAGACAACTCACATAACAAAACAAAGGAGTGACAGGTACACATCTGTTTTTTACATGCACAGGTTTGAAAGTAACTGAACACAATAAAGGTTTACATCTTTTCACACAAGCGAAGAATTTTAACCTCTAATGTAACATTTTCCAAAGTACTCTGTTGAACAGCCATGTTCGTCAGCGACATTCAACCAAGGAGCTGTTAAAAGTGTGAGTCAGCAGTGATGACCGACAGCCACCTTAACCTTTTCTTATAACAATGACATCCGGATATCAGAATTATCAGCTAGTAAGTCATATTTAGGAGTTTTTTTTTCTTTTGTGAATGCTCAGCGCTTCTCCACAGATATAATTTAAATACAGAGAAAACAAACATCAGCCCACTCTCATAAGAGGAGTCAGATAATGCAAACAGTGTCAGTGTTGCTGAGTAAAATCAAATGTACTGTAGTTCATGTGTTCTTCATCCATCTAAAGGGCTTCAGTCAAAAAACAGTTCAGCCTTGTTGGATCAAAATTCATAACCTCTCACTTTCCCCTTGGGGATCAATAAAGTGTAACGGACTTCTGATTCTGATTCTGATTTGACACACGTCCTCTGATTATTTCCCTCAGTAAAAAACTGTTAGACTATAAAACATTCAGACAGTTACTAGCTGCTATTCTCACCAGCTTTAAGGAGATGATACAAATGCCTTCATGTCCCATTTTGGACTGTAACTCCTCTTACAGAACTCAGTGTTCTCATGGATGCATTAAGATGAATAGTGTTGGCATTTGAATTGTCCATCTGCATCCTGCCGCCTAAGAGCTACTCAGAATGCTCCAGTGCCATGAGCACTTCTTCCAGCTCAGTTGACCTGCATGGATCAGGAAGCAGCAACAACACATGACGTGAATGTACTGTAAATAAGCATTGAGAGGGGTCAGTCACCCAAAGTCTCAGCACAAACGTGGCTATAGGAAGCATATATGGGTGAACAATAACTCGTGTTCCTATCCTATATAGAAATCCTTCCCCTGAACCAATCCTGAAGTTTCATCTAAATCCAAACGCTAATCGTCCTTCCACATCCAAACTACAATGAAGAGCAAACACAGGCTTCACTTCCTCCTCATCTTTCATATCTCTGTGAGAACATTTGGTCTGAAGCTGCATATTTGCAGAGGGGAGGAGGAGGAGGAGGGTGTATAATGAAGAGCATGGCCACCTCAGCACAAGCTGGAGATAAAGCAATGTAAATGTCACTCATCCTGTCCGACTCTACACTTGTTCAATATCGACACTAGCAGGTACACCGTTCCAAATTAGATACAAGTTTTAAAACAGCGCTCTCCCCGAAAACATTTACTGTTAGTTTAAAACAACTTTGTGTTAGTCATCTAGCCTTTTTGTGAGTATTTTTGGCTCTGCAGTACACTGGAGTGAGCCCTTACTTTAGAAAAATAGAATTACTTTTTAATAAATACAAGTTCGGCCAATAATACAGCACAAAGCAAATTCTGCTGTTTCTGTTCAGAATGAAGCCTGCTGGAAACTAGACTTAACTGCAACAAAAGTCAGTGTTCAGGATTTAAAGACACCGGCATTCATCTGGGTAAAGACTAGTTAAAAGACACAATCAAGCTGCATGATGGGAAATGTAGGAGCTAGTGTTTTTGGATGCTGATCCACAGTAAAACAATTAAAAATCAGCACAACTTCACTTAGCTGCTTCGCTTTTGACTGTTCTTTTTTAATCTGTCTGGCTTAAATCCTTCAATTTAAGAAAAAAAGTGCAACACTACATCAGTGGAGTATAGGTTTAACATCTTTTTTGTTAATGTTGACAAAATACATGTCACCTCAGCCATAACAGAATCATTTAAAATAGATAATACCAAAAATGTGTATGGCAAAGACAGCATTTAGAGATACCATGAAATCTTGTTTTTCACTTAATGATCGCACTGGTTTTAAGAGTTTATTAACACAGAAGAGAAACTTGGTGGTGAGGAGAAACAATATTTTAAAGGAAAGTCTCTCCTCTGCAACTCTCTTGCTACTTTGAGTGATTCAAGTTAAGTCTTAAAGAAAAGAAACACTTGAAAAACATGTATGTATTGTTGTCTAAGTCTTATGTAATGTTAAGTGTACAGTGTCATAGTCTCCACCTGCAGCCTCTTGACAGGGTAACTATGCAAGTAAGCTATGGACACACATGCAATACTAACACACACAAAAAAGGCTTAGCATTCACGAACCAACAGCTCAAGAAAGAATGGCTGGTGTTGGCTCAGCAGGTCAAACATAATGCTGTAATGTTATGAACCAAGCATGGATACATTTGTCTGTTTGGCTACAGCTGACTCGAAAGACTATGAAAATTTAAAAAAAAAGCTCTGCCCTACGCACACGAGTAACGATATGACATCCCTGACAGTCATAACGTTTCACTGAAAGATGACTGTGTGGAGTATGAAGGCCTTTGATCCTGATCTACAGTATGTTGTACAGTAGAAAACAAGGGATTCAACCTGAGTTAATACAACAGTCTGTACGAAATACTAATACATTTATTTGAAGTTTAAAAAAAAAAAAAAAAAAGCTGTGTTAAATAGACAACTTTAATATTAAATAAGACTAATTCAGTGTCTAGATTTTCACATGATAGCATGGAAAGAGATGCTGGAAATCTATTCTCTAATGCTTCTGCAAGCACTTTTCTATGTACATATGAGCTCTAATTCCTTAGTAAATAATTTCCACAAGTGACAAAGAAAATACCTCCATCCTTGTTAGCCTCCATCTTAAAAGAACAGATAGGTTGGCTAAAGGCAAGGCAAAAAAAAATAAATCTGTCACTGTCTAAACTCAAAAAGTAAGAGTTCTTTCTTTGCTCTGCTGTCACTCTTGTCCAACATCCTCTCTGAATGCAGAACTCTAACTCTAGTTATCGTCTCTGACACATTTAGGCTAGGATGATGAGTCACCCGCTTCTTCCCCGTTTTTCCTCTCTTTTCTCAGAGAGAAAGGCAGAAAGTGACAATGGATAGGGGAGAAGAGGTACACCGCCGGCTGAAGCTACAGGGCCACACCGCGTGGCTTCAGAAGGGCTTAAAAAAACAGACCTAACTGCTCTGCTGCTGCTCCAGCTCTGCCTCAGAGGAGGTCCAGGAACCGCTCAGAAGGGTGGGGGCTCCTTCAACCAAACACCCTTACACCGTACAGCAGGAGGCTCAGACTCGCAACAACTGGCCAACAAGCCAACAGAACACCGGGTGATGTCACAAGAGGTCGTCGTAGTCCAGCAGCTTGGAGTGCTGACGGCTTTTCCAAAGGCGGAACAGACGGAAGTCAAAGTACATCTCGATCATCTCTTTGCCTGCAGACAGACGCAAACAAAAGAAACAAGGTTACAGCAACGGCACATACTGTGAGGGTAAACCTGACCTCAGCCAACATGTCTGAGTCATCACATCGTACTCGGCCTGCTATCATCATCCTGAGCTCACTTCTGTGCATTAGCGGCTTGGCTTTGCATGTTGTAGGCTATTTACTATAAGGCCCCATTTACACGTAGCAAAAACGGTGCTATTTCAATGTGTTTGGGCCTTTGGTTTACACGTAAATGAAGCTACAAGTCACCCAACAGGATCATGTCTCCAGTCACAGTGGAGATTTGGAAAAATTCCGTCTTTACTTTTGCATGTAGACAGGAGGAAACGGAGTTTGACGTCACATTATGCGACAAAGGCGTCATCAGCGTCATATGTGTGCGACCCATGTTTACAATTTGGCCACTGTGATAGAAAGTCAAAATTTTTAAGTATTTGTACTTATTTTGAACTCTAACATCACATTTAGGAGTAGCTCCACTTTTCTGTCGGTCCAATCAAACGACCCTAGGGCCGTTATCGCTGAAGTAACAGGAAGTAATTCGTGCCATTCGTTGTTGTGTTTTTTTCTAGGATTCTGATTGGCTAGCATGACTTTATGCTTCTCATAACACTGCCCCCTATAGGTTTGGCTCATATCAGCTCTTAAAGACTTGTTTATGCGGGTTTGTGTAAACAAAGATTTTTTTGAAAACGATCTGGTGTGACCAATGTTGTTTTTGAAAACATAGATCTGTTTTTGTAAATACCCGGCGATGTGTAAATGTGACCTACATCATAAATGTGTCACTGATGATGTTTTTCTTTTAGCAGGTAAATCTGTTTGGATGTTTCAATTTGAACTCGTGGATTATTTATTACTTTTGTGATCATTTGGAAATTCTGAATCACAAAATGGAAAAATAAATAAATAAAAAATCTTTCGCCATTCTTTTCTGCATCCATAACACACACACACACACACACACAGCTTGATATAATCAGTGTATAGGCAAATAGCTTCAAATCAATCAAATAGTTGGCGTGAGAACAGCTGATAAAACACAGTCAAGCTGTGACTCTGAGAGTGCATTAGTATTTTTTAAGTAGAGGTCAGTGACTTCATAGTCATGCAAAAAACTATACAAGGTATTTAAAAAATTAAGTTAGGTCTTTGGCCCATTTTTGAATTTCCTATTTTTATTTTTTGACTTGAATTTACAAAAAAACAAAGTTTTTTTTTTTAGTGTAGAATGTATCAATTAATAACAAAATAACAAATAGACTTTTCAATATCGAATGAAAACAGAACAAATGATCTAGGGATGCACATATGCTTTTTCTGCAGCTGGGAAGTTCAACACAGACAAACTTCAGCTGGGACATGAAACATACTTACACTATTTAAAAATCTATTGAATTGCTCAGACTGGCTTTCTGTACTCAGATATATTGTTGCTGCACAAATGTTCTGTGCTTCAGTTTGAGAGCATTTCCTGTCTCACACACTGCCTCTGTTTGCTTGTCAAACTTCTGCTTTCAGATTTATGCTCTCGCTCTGTAATCTCTGAACAACATCTCCTCTACAGTCAATCGGATGGCAGCTATGGCGTTGACCAATGAAGTCATGGCTGCCTTCTTGTTTTACTCCTTACAGTGTTTTCAGCTGAATAAAGAGGGGGACGTTACTCCATCAAAAGGGGCATGGCATGGGGGAAAAAAAACCCTGAGAAGACAGTGTTCACAACATCAGATGTTCTTTTTACATGAGGTGACTGCGGGATGTGGGCTGTGCTACAGACTCCTTTACTGCACTTGTAGTGAATCAGCGTTGTTTGGTTCACTCAGTTTAACTTGCAGGAGTAGTAGGCAGAAGTATATCCTTTAACATGTGTAACTACAGAGGAAATGAATTCATCATTACTGGGTGTGAGTTCATAGAGTCTCTCAACATCTTTACTGCAAAAATGACTCACACAATGTAATTGCCAAGAATTACATCTTCTGCTCAAACGTAGTGAAAAACATTCTGAACTTCACCAGCCTGACATGTAGTTAAACAGCGTGCTGTATGTAATATATAGGAAGCTTTAGTAACTGTACCTTAGGGAACAAGGAGTGAATGTTTTTCTCATGTTCTGTGTATACAGCATCATACACATCCAATCAGGCTGATGGAAACTCGCTTAATGATTGTCAGAGTATTGATGGGATATTGACATGTCATCAAATTTACTGGCACTAGTGGGACTCCAGCAGGAGAAGGATGTGGGTCACAGGAGTGTCGTCATTGATTTTGTGTCGTTGTGTCATCAGTCATTGCTTTTACATTGTTAGGTAAAAATAAAACACAAAACACAGAAAAAACAAAACACTTCAGTGATCCTGGATCAGTAGTAAAGCGTCCTTTACTTTACGGAGGCACAATACTGAAAAGTTGAATGGTTTTTGGAAGGTTTTTAATGTTAAAAAAAAATCATCAGTTATTACACCTCTAGAGGTCTTCATGTTTTTAAACACGTTCAACCTGCAAGAAAAATTGTAAGGTTTGATCAAATACTTCCTTTGAGTGATTTAACCTGGATATAACATTAAAACACTAATTGTAGCCATCAGTGTATACTCTAAGTGAAATTACAGCCTTTTCACATCAACAACAGACAGATTTAAAGAAGAGCAACAAACACATGACATCATGCATCATGGTGGGCTGACATTTAATATGTTAACATTATTATGTTAATATGGGCTAACGGGTCAGATGCACCACTCTCTTGTTTCCCAGCACTGAGGCATATTAACTGCTCAGAAAAGCAGCAATCGTTTGACACTTGCTCTCTATACTGGCACATTTTGACTAGTGTCTCCTGACTGTTCTTGTGATTGCTTTGTGTGCTGTGGGCACTGACAATAAATATTACAGTGCAGCAAGACACACAAATGTGTTGCACATAAGACCTGCAGTCTTGATCATGTGTTGTGTGGGGGAGTCAGAATTAGCTGTGTTCTTGTTGCTGACTTCAGGTTCTGGCTGAGAAAGAGCCGAAACTGTTTTCTGGGGCACAATGGTACTGCTATAAAATGAAACCAGCATCTTTTTAGTCTTTTGGAAGATTTTAATAATTTTTTGTCTCTACACCTCAATATCACAATTAACTAACTAGCAGCAAATAAGGCATTGGTGTCTCCACTAAATATTTGCATTGGGTGGTTAATATTTGTATTGATTGTTGTCAGTGTTATTTCTGTCTTTTTTCTCTGTTCAAACAGGTAGTATGACTTTCCTGATATAAAAAACCAACACTTCTGTAATTTTCTTCCACTGGTGCTCTTCTCGTCAAACAGTACAACAGTCCTTTGCGTCCAGCTAATGTTTCTACCTTTTTAGCCGTGGTTCCATTACACTGCTGCTTTGGTCTCCAGTGTTGGAACCAGTTTGTTGTGCTGCCACGTATAACCCAAACTAAGCTTTTTGCTAATTTTACACATTTAACACATTTTCATGTTCGTTCTGTGTGAGACTTTGTAAAAGTGAACCTTTTTCTCATCACTGGAATAAAAAGACTGCCTTTTTTAATCGTCCTTAGCAGCTGTTCAGTGTGTGTTTGACTAGTAAAGCTCTCAGCAACAGCTCAGGCTACTGTCGTGACTCCAGAGGATAATTTCTGCTCGCGCTGCTGTTGTTTGAGAGGAAGCACTGAGGAGGAGGTGCTTTTCATACCGTGCCTAATGAAAGATTCTAATTAAATCACGAAGTTTGATTTATCGCACACATGTGAAAACAAAGTTGCAAGCTCAGGTTATCCTTTGTTCATATGTTAATCATGTATTCATAGGTAGTTACTTGTTACTTATATGTTTAATCATTTTTAGAGAAACAAAAGTGTTTTTTATTTTGGGTTAAAGCTGACTACTGCTCCAAGTTTGCATGTATGTATTTTCTATCGTAGAGACCTCAGACCCTTATAAAGGATGGAACCCCAGTATGAAGAAGTTGCTTTTTCAACATATGGAGAGTAGACTTATTGTTTCTCATACTGTGGAGTAGACTTTCTTAAGGTGAACTTGCTGAACCATTCAAAATGAGCCAGTGGTTAAGAAATTTGTGTTCATCGTCGTACTATAAATAAGCTGTCACTCTTGTGCTGGACAATCTGGACAAATTTTGCCACCCTCCCTCTTGCAATATATTAAAACTAACCAATGACCAGCATAATGTTGTTTTTTTTTTATATATATGTTTTTAGGTGATAAGTGTCATGGTAGGTCTGTAGCTGTGAATGCTTTGATCATGTGGCTGCATAATATCCCCCTAGGGACAAAAAAAAAAAAAGGATCTCCGCCGAGTTAAAACGTGCTGTGAGGTTAAAGTGAAGGCACCAATACATTAAGAAATCACTTTTCAAAGTCAGAATCACAACACTGATACACTTACCATATAGAGTGATTTTATGGCCAACAATTTTTGTTTTAGCAAAAGAGCCTTCACGCTAATGAATTCAAATCCAATACCTTTGGATCGACGACCTAGAAAACATAAATACTTAACTGTGCTCAAGGCAATGCATGTGCACTTAGTTAACTATTCAATATGCAGAAGGCGAGCTGCACGTTAAAAGTTGACCTGAAAACGCATCGAAAAAATAAGAGAGGAGGGCAGATTGGAATTGTGCAGCGGCTGGCTCTAATCACATTTAAGGGCTGATCTCTGACCTGTCACATTTCTTTTTTCTTTTCTATTCAACAGAACATCTCAACAGAAAGTGCTGAATGTCCTTTCACAGCATTACAGGTTGTATGTGTGCCGAGTAAAAAAGACAAAGGTGTAGACAAAGCACAGTGTGGTGGGTCAATAGAGGAGGGCAAAACACACAGAGGCGATAATGACGTTTTAATAGGAAAATAATTAGCATGGCATCAATAGATGTCAGGAAAATGACTGATGAGGGATGTGTGCAGAGCTCAGTAGAGTTCACACCTGTATGTTTGCTCACACTCCCTAATGTTCTCACATCATCGCTGAGCAGCTTACTGGCATTGATTAATGTACACTATTAAGATTCAGCTGGAGTACTGCAGACTCCCGATAGCGGCAAATCAATCCAAATATTGCATGTATGTTTTTTAATGTTTTTTGCATGTTGTAGGGAACGAATCTTCTGTAGCACAGGGGGAATAAGTGTGTGTTATCTGCGAAGAGGCAGCAGAAAGCCATTAACAGAGCTTGAGTGAAACTAAAGACTAAATGTGCGTATAGCGCTCTTACCTTGTGCCGACAGCTCTAGTGGGGACTTGAATTCGACTGAGGAGGGTCTCATCAGCCTCTTCAGAGTCTGAATAAGCTGCAGGGAAAGAGGGAGCGATAGGGAGAAACAGTTACAGAGAGAGAGAACATTTCGTTCCAAATGCCATCAGGCATTGTGAAATGAAAACAAAGAAGAAATGATGCAGAGATAGGTCTGTGTGCAGAGAGCTGGTGGAAGCCCTACAGAGCCTTGATCCTGTCCAAGCAGTGCTGCAGCAGAATGTATGTGAAAAAGGTCAATGTGCCACTTACACGGCAACAGAATAAAGAGAAAGGCACTTATGGTAATGTTTTCCATACAGAAAGACATATTTGTCATATGAGTGGATCTATATTGAAGTAAAGGCCAGTGGAGCAGGATCACATGCAGGGAGGAAGTGAAGGGCAAACCCATCTAAACGCACTGTACCTGCTTTTAAAGGCTGACCCAGATCTATGTGTTGTAAATTACCAAGCTGCATATATAAAACTGATATCATTTATCTAAGAGACTGCATTTAGGGAATGAAAAGTGTTCATTAAAAGGTGTTGGTACCAGATAACCTGACAAGCCAGATGGTTTGTTACAGCGAACCAGTTGAGAAGGCGTCCTTGGAAATGGTTTAGACAAGAGCAGGCACTTCTAAAAAATACTTGGCAGGTAAATGGATGAACCATCTGTCAATCACCATCAATCACCTATGACACAGCCCTAGCTGCCAGCAGCTCCTCATATGTCAATAAGGGTCCAACCAACTATGCATCAGGCCCAAGCACAAAGCTTAAAGCCTGGCAAGATGAATTCTTGTGTGATCACGATCTTGTGAATCCCAAGAGAATCCAGCTGCTTTGCACCTTGAAAAACCAGTGAGCTTCTAAGGAGATAGAATAGTGTTCATCCTGGACTATTTGTTATGAGACTTCCTTGGTTTGGTACACCCTCTGATCCAAACAGTTCCAGTTCCCCATTGTTGCAGCTGTGAATCAGCTAAAGTGGGCTGTTGCATTATCCTTAAAGCTGGGCTAATTATACTCTTGTATGATTTTTCAAATCTTGTACAATGTCACAACCCAGGCTATGTGTTTTAATTTTTGCAACAAGGACCTGGGGAGTTCACACTGAACATAGACACATCACCCTTGCTTGCTTTGTCCACTGACTGCTCCCAACTCTATTCAGATAACATGGCTGTGACTTCATCATAATAAACAAGTTCTAAAGCTGAAATTGTACTCCAGGCTTTAATGATATTTTAACCTCTTTTCAAACTTGGAATATGTAACACTACTGGCTTAATCTGTCATCCACTAGCTAGTGACTGTTCCATAAATGTTCTCTTATGGTTTATTTATGACATGGAATGGCCAAAATTAGTGTTCTCAGCAGGCAGCCTAAGTGATGCATTTTACAACTTATTTTAGTTAAAGTCTCAATTAAAGGTGTCTGTCTATTTATGAAGACACACCATAGAACGACGAGATAAAAAATATAATTCAAATATTCCCCAGTGTTGTATGTGTTATGTTTTGCTATATGTTCATAATGAAAGGTTAAGAGTATATTGATGGAGTGCTGGTTTGATTATTATTGGGGGGTTTTTGAGCACTTTTGAGAAAAATCTCCGTCGTGATTTAAAACTGGCTCATTCACAGTCATTTTTTATATTTGCAAAACAAGTGATGACTGAGTGGTGAATTTATTGCAGTACTCTTATGACGGCAAAACCAGACGTTCAAGGTACAAATCTCTTTCTCTGCTAATTTAACCTTAAACAGTCTTAACATGGTGTTATGATACAGGTGATACACCAGTTTTTTTTACTTAATAAGCTTATATTGAAGTGTAAGACTGAATAGGCCTCCTTAGGAAGAACAGATTTTAATATATGGTATAAATCTCTGTTTATCTCCTGGAAAGCCTTCTTCAGAGTGCATGTTACTTGGTAGAGCAAGTATCGTATCAATGGCTCAACCATCGTTTTGCTCAGAACATTCACAGGTAGCTGTGTCCTTTTTCAGTCGTGACAGACTTCAAAGGATGTGGCATTCAGGGCCACCAGCATAAATAGAATGGATCCATCATAGCATCATCGCTAGCTCCCACAAACCTCAAAGAAAAACGTGTTTTGGTCTTTGAGATTGTTTGGAGATTGAAAGGGCTTACGTTGGCTGCATTTGAAGAGTCTTGGAAATTAGTTATCAGGAGGATATTACAGATGGCAGCATCTGAAAGTGGATACCACATACATGTATGTCTGCGCTTCCAAGTCCAGTACTGTGCACTGAGCTTACTGTTGGAAAAAGCCCAGATGGACAAATCTGCGGTACCCATGCTTTATCTGTTCTGTTTCAATGGCACACATGCATCTGGAGGCCTGTCACTGTCGATGATACTCCTGCCTTTGGCCTTGTCCACAGTGCTGCCACCTCCTCCTCCCTCCAGTTCCACCTTATTGTCCCTGTTCCTCCTACTCTCCCTGGGGCCTGGTCCAGTGCCAGCTGGTGTGCCATCACGCATGGAGGCCAGCAGCCAAATGGCATTTGCAGGTTTCATCTACAGAAGGGTATGCTATACTTGTATCACTTAAAGGATGAAAGGGTTTGTGAACACCCCTCCTAAACTGTTCAGTAAAAAATAATAGAAAAAACATGATACTGTTATGGCCATTTCAAAGGAACAGCTACATCTACTGTATGATTGCATCTAGATTTCTGTCTTTGACTTTTCAACTAATTAATTTTGTGTATATCCAGCTGAACAATTTATGAACTTGATAATTATGCTTTATGTCAAACATTATGGCATTACCTATCTTTTAAAATCAGAGAACTGAAAAACAAAGAGGGTAGGTGAAGTTCTTGGAAAGCCATTTATGTTTCCACTAAATGAACCTTGCTACAGATACAATTTTAGCATCCAATGTCTTCAGTATCTTTCAAACATAATACTTGACACCATTTGTAGATCAGCAGTTCCAAAATTGTCTTGTCTAATGTGTCCTATAGCATCCAGATCAGATGAACACCTTTATAGACCCCATCTGTATACTCCAAATGGATTTAGTTTAACCCCTGAAGTGGATGTAATACATTACAATATGATATAATATAACTGAAGTGTCAGGTCAGTTCTGTCAAATGGGCAGTTGTGCTATCACTAGGAATGGCACGAGCTGAACCTTTTAACTATTTATCCATTACTGCTAGCTCTTCTGTTAATACATCACTGTTAGCTAACTATAATTTTAACAAGTTGTTCTTAGTTGTTTATTGTTTTTGGCTAATTATTCCATATAATAATCCATTACTTTTGGGTACCCATTTCAACAACTAAAAATTCCTTGACTATTAATTTAAAACATTAGTTCATTATTTCTATCTAACTGTTTAAATTGTTTACCCATTACTGTGAGCTTACTGTTCCAGCTATTTATTTATCACTTTTGGCTAACTGTTTCAAATGTTTATTCATTACTTTTAGCTAACAATTTGGAACATTTATCCAGTTAACTACATCCAGTAGTCTACCTAATGCAAACTGTTTCAGCTACGTAGTCATTATTTTTGGCAAATCATTTCAAATGTTTATCAAGTCATTTTAGCTAACTGCTTTATTAACTACCATTTAAGGCAAACATTTTAACTGTCATGCCCTCCACATCTGGCTCCATCTAGTGGAGCCTGTTTTCCTTTTTAACATTAACTTGTCAACTTACTTTCATAGTCTTCCAACGTAACATCAGAAATGGAGCACCCCTGGTTGGGAATCAGTGCTCTATAACAGAGCATGTTCGCTACTACTTGGTCGTATTTTGAAAAGAAAAGCATTCTGTTACATTAAAAGAAAAAGTCAGACCTTTGTATTATTCCTTGATGGACTATCACAGTTCTTACTAGAGTCGGACTGTAGGCGTATTTCTGTAAATTGTAAATTATAGGCCCTTTCTCCCCGTAAATAACATAATACCAGAGAATGATGACCAGGTATGTAGCAGGAAGGCAAACGGTCGACTGATAAGGATGGTGTACTGAGCACAAAGGGGCTGCGAGCAGACTTTGACACAGTCAGAAAGGTGACAGGTCAAACAACCTGCCATACACTACTTATACAGCTAATGCAACCTGCTCTGATGCTTAACCTCGATATTTCCCAGAGGCGTTACAGTGGCAGGCCATCAATAGACCATGACTTCTTAAGGTCGGGGTCAGTGTAGCAACTGCTAATGCAGGGAAGCTGTTAGCAAGTAAATACCTTACAAGAGCAGTGAATCACAGCGAATAGAACGATCTCTTCTATTATTAATCAAAGGGAGCACCAACAGAGAAAACACACTTCACCTCTGTGTTGGTGGTAATGTGGCTTATAGGTGTTAACACAAATGTCATTCTGTGTGAAACTCCTACTTTATTTTGTGAATGGTTTTGCAATGTTACAGTTATACAACACTATGTTTACATGTGGGTGTGTATACCACCTATGTGTATATAGATGGTATATCACCTAAAATATTTGGTCCCAGCCTACTGCTACCAAAGAGCTGTGTATTATGATTGGCTGTCTTACCCAAATTATTCTAGAATTTGACAGAAATTTGAAACTCTGAAACCACATTGGAAAGGTTCATCAATTGCGTGTTGTATTATTTAAGCAAATAATGTTGATGGCTAAGATCTGGGTTTTATTAGACAGTAATTGAAAAGTCGTTTCTTGCAGTCAGTTTGTTGGGTGTAGGAGAAATGGCAAGGTATTAAGACCTGAGAGACTGTGACAAGGACCCAACTGGTTATGGCCAGATGTCTGTGCTGGAGCATCTCCAGAAAGGTCAAAGCTTGTGGGGTGCTCCTAGTCAGCAGTGGAGGGACCTACTGAGGAGGGACGAACCATTAACCAGAGTGAGGTTCATGAACAAGTCTGTTCCACAGCAGTTCCAGATTGTCAAGTCAAAACTTCCAGGACCTGAAGAATTAAATACCACAGAACACCTTCTGAACTCTGATGGAGTCCAGGCCTCGGCAGGTAGGAGCTGATTCAGTAACTACCCGGTAAAGCAGGAGGTCATAATGCATCATCAGTGTAGTATTAGAATTTGTAAAATGGGTTTCTCTATATAATACAGGAATAAAGTATGTAAAGTGATATGAGATAGAATTAGAATGTGTTGCTACTTAAATATAACTGAATTAATTGAACTGACACATTGCTTGGTTCATGCATGTCGCGATTCATGTAAGGTATGATTGTTCTAAAATTTAAATAAGGCAAAGCAGAATTTTATCCAAGAGAAATGTAGCTTGTTTATGTCAAGAAAAAGCATGATCTTTCTATATTCAGTCAAGAAATGATATAAGTACTGAGGAGAATGAATTTGACCTCTAAGCACTGTGTTTAGACCCTTAAATAAGGTGGCTGATGGTTGATAGAAGAGCTATGGCCCAGTCAGTCAGTCTATTAATAGTGGCTCTCCAGCTGAGGCTGCAGGAGCGCACACAGGCAGCAGCGGGGGGAAAATTGTTAAATGCAGCGAATAAGCCCTTCCTTGTTCATCCCCCTCCTCGTGTGACTAGTACCGAATCACCATGAAGACGATGCCAAATGTCACAGTAACACTGTGTACTGCTGGGTGTTCTTTATATCTAGAACGCACAAGTCTGACGCACAAGCAAACAATGAGTGTTGTTGATGTGCTACAAGCAGCATTTTGAAACAGTAATGTATCATTTTTTAATTAACTCGACCACCTGGCTGTGATTACCATAAAACAAATAAGAGCATGGTGGAGATTAATTGCTGGCCAGATCACAGAAACGGCAGCGCTCCTTTGTTAAAACTACATTTCCCATAAACCACACAGACCCTTTTTACGAGCGACCATAAATAAAACTGATTCATTAAGTAATAAGTTGAATTTTGTTCGAATCTGCTAAACTTCACTGAAATATTATAAGGCCAAGAATGGAAGTCGTCATCTGTATAAGTCAAAGATTTAATTTCACTTAAGCTTCCCTGCAACCTGTTAAGTGTTCATAACCTGTAACCTCCGTCTTACCATGAAATGAGCAGCAGAAGATATGAAATTTAGATCGAATATCAAATTAAATTTAAGGAATTTTGAAATCACAGGTCTAGCCAGCTAACTCTGAATCAGTTGGTACAAGCTAAAGCCATATGATGGTCGTCTGGAGTTAAAACCGTTAAGCTTAAAATATTGATTTACAGTTAATTGGGACTTTTTTTTCCATTGCTGTCACTGATACGCTAAGATCGACTACAATTTATTTATTTATTTATTTTAACTCCAGATGACTTTTCGCTCTGTCAGGCTTGTTAGAACTACAAAAACACATCCTCCACAATTGTCTAGTGATAGCCTGTGTGGCTTCGAATCTTAGCTTCAATGTACCTAAAAAGAAAACAGAAAGCGGAAATTCTGGAAACTAAACAAAAGTTGAAATAGTTCCAAAAATGTTTACACTTGTCTTGTGATTTAGATATAAACCGTGATAAACAGGAATCAAGTGATGTTTTTGTCACTCAAGCTTTTCCTGAGGAGTCTAAAAATAGCCACAAATTTAAACTTCGTATCAGTGTGGAGTAATGAAGAAACTGCCTCCCTGACGTTATTATATAAAACAAATGGAATTGCCACATTTCCATCGTGTGTTCCATTCACTGAGCTTTGGTTGGAGCTTTTCTTTAAGGATGCCAACTCATTACATTGTCTTTCTCTGGAGTGGTTTAGCGGCATTTAACAGGAGAACTAGCACCAGCATCTGCTCATCTTAATGAGCAAACTAGTACTATTCACATAACAGCAGTAGGTGGAAACACACAGTCGCCCCTCCCACCATTCTGCATTCTGGGACAAAGCTGTATTTTATATAAGGTACAACAAATTTTTCTGATAAAATGTCGTACATTTACGAAAGGGCCTCCCCATTACTAATATTACTATTGCTATTACAATTACTGTAACTATTACTATGACTTAGTGGGTGCAGCACAGTTGGTCTTCATTTCTGTTTCTGCATCAGATTTGGTAGGTTTGCAGTTGAGAATTTTTAGAACAGGTTCAATAACGTCAGTGTCACTGATTCATTGTTCTAGGACTGTTGCTGTCTAAATTACACTTTGGTGAACTTGTAGTAAACATGATTTTTTTTAATCAAATCTCAGACCTATTGTTTTTGTATTATCTCCCAAGTACTTCATGTTCATAGAGCAAAAGGTCACACATTTTGGCCTCACCGTTCGGGAACTGGCACTGAGTGAATTTGAGGACGTATTTTTAGATGTTTTTTTTTTTTTTAATATATATTTTTTAAAAGTGCCTAGGATTTAGAGAGCTTAGTTTGCATTGTGTTTAAATATACTCTCAAAATTCAGTTTTTATTTGTCATTTTGCTGGAAACGAACCCTAACCTGATTTCAAAAACCTAACAATGTTTAAAAATAGCCACCAAGCAAGCTAACAAATTTTATTTTATTTTAGATTTTCAACTCTGCATACTGAACCACTGAAAGGTCAAATGAATAACACTGACCATCTCATTTGTCCTGCTAGGAAACCTTGGTTCCTGGCAGTCATGGGGATTTTATTTTGACTCTTGCAACCCACCTAAACATTGCTTCAGACCAAGCACACTCAATGGCAACAGCACTCCCAGATGGCAGCAACCTCCTCCCAGCAAGACTATGCACCCTGCCACAAACCTGCTCAGGAACATCTCGAGGAACAGGACAAAAGGTCCAAAGCATTAACCCATCCTCCCAGATCCCAATCTGGCTGACTATCTGCCTTATGCACCAGGACATGCTCAATCCACAGAAGCCAGACCACTCACAGGACTAAAAGGATCTGTTGCCAACATGTCGGTGCCAGACACCACAGGACTCCCCCAGAGGTCCTACATCCATGCCCTGATGGGTCAAACCTCTTTTGGTGGCATAAGGGGAACCTACACAATATCGGGCAAGTGGTTTGAATGTTGTGGCTATCGATGTGTATTGTGCTGCAATTCTATGCTTTTATTCTGTAGCTTGCAACTTTATATGCCACTAATACATTGTCAGATTAATGCAGGCCAACTGCTTTGCTTGTATTTACTGATCAGCAGTTTTGTTGAATGTAACATATGTGTTTCACTGTATGCATTGCTTTGACTTCTAGATGAAAATAAACCCTGCAGATCTGTTTTGCTTAAAATGTCACAATTTTAATAGCAAATCCAAGGCAGCCAGTTCTCCTTATGATGATTAGTTTTGTTAACTACTTAAAAAACATATTAATAATTGACTAAATAAGACATTTTTTCAGTTTTATGGCTGTTCTCTTTAACTGTCATGTCTCCCCTCTCCAATTCAAAGTGTATTCGAGCACTGCACTTTTTGGCATCAAGGTCAAGAGGTACACAAGCTTGCAAATGGCCTTTACCCTTCACCTGTCTGATATCCCGGGACTATTCTTTGTCTCAATGTAAGACTTCTCTGTAAAGTGGGCAGGAGAAGCTCTACATGAGTTTTTACTACCACAAGAACATCTAACACTGCGGTAAGCAATCACACAAGTCAGTAGTACAGTGTGTCTAGATGTGGCCGCATTTGAAAGTATGAATATTTCAGTGTGTGGGCATGTTTCATGTGCATATGCTGTATGTGAGCGTGTCTGCATATAGCAAGTGTGTGTGAGTCTTTGCGGGGGTGGAAGGGTCATGGCAGGGGTACCAAAGGAGTGGGAGAGTAAATGTGTGAGTGTGTGATTGCAGCAAGAGCAAGTAGGTGTTTGTGTGGAGCTCAATTGAGGGGGTGTCAGAGTCTATTCTCCTGTCATTCCAAAGTGCTGTGTGTGTGTTTGTGCGTCCTGTTCTTCATTGTCCTCCCCCCCCCCGCCTGTGCTGTGTGGCAGCCTGACAGCAGGATCAGAGCAGCAGCCAGGCAGCAGAAGGTGCTGCTAAAGTCAGAATTCATACACTTGCCTCTAAGAATTATTTAAAAAAAAACACTTTCCTGCACATTATTATGTCTTCCACATGCGCAAAAACTGCTTACTATTTCATTATTTTACTAGACATGTACAAAAGTCTACTTCACCTCGTTAGACCCTGCAAAACTCTGCAATATCAGGAGGCAAAGCCAGCAGATTGTCTGAATGATTTATCTGCACAGTGCTATAGACAGCATTTGGCTCCAAGCGTGTGTGTGCACATTAGTAGTTATGAGTAAGTATGCTGCATATGCATGCACACATTTTAAGTAAACTTCTGAAGTGAACTGGTGGAGATTGAGATATTTGTTCTTGAGGCTACAAACAAAGACGGCTACCTTTTCTCCATTAGCGCTCCCCAGCACGTAGCAGCCCATGATGTGGATGAGGTTGGGCTCCGGGTTCAGCTTACTCATCAGCCTGCTGAGCCGCCGCCAGAACCTGATCACACAGGAGAGGGGAGACGTGAAGATGATCAGCAGCAACGGTGACGGGGTAAATGTGAAAACTGAACTGATGACAGGCAGCAGTAATCACAGTTCTAAATATATTTTATGCTTTACAGTTGAAAATTTCCATCATATGCTTTTCTCACCTGCAGTTATTCACATATAGTCTACTGATCCGTGTGTGGAAGGGTGAAGGGAGAAGCTGAGTGTTCCATCTGCTAAGGGTTCCAGTGGAGCAGCACTGACAGAAATTACCTTATTATCCAAACCTACAACACCTACATCATCGCATTTTCTCACTTCCCAGCCACTGACATGCCCCGGTCAGGGAACTCGAACATCACCTACAGTTCATCGATTTCTTGATTTTATCGGCATTTTTTTCCCTTCTTATGTAGTCTTTATCACCATAGGTTTCCCTTCTTGTACATAAATAAATCAGACATTTCTTATCAGATGGCATGCAAAAAAGAGTAGATATTAAAGTAGGAAAATAAAAGACATCAGCTGGAATTTTCCAGAAATCAGCTGTCAAAAGCTATGTGGCTACAAACCAAAGAGCAGGGACTCCATGACAGCTCAGAGCTCTTGTTTACCAGCTACTTCAGATCCTGCTTCAATCAGGTGATTGTCAACAATTTAGTGAATGATCATTGATGTGAAGGGTCATTTGGGGCAAGTGTATCAAGGATTTTCTTGCTAGAAGAAGAAGAGAGTGTGGTTTTCCTATTCTCAATTTTTGGACTGTGGTTGATAAAATGACGTTTTAATTGCAGTAGGTATTACTTGGCCATGTGAAGTGTGGGGAAAAACCCAAAACCTTTGGTCATGTAAGCAGATAGCCACACCTGTCATCAAATGTGTGCTGTGTTCCAATGAAGTTGTTAACTTTCTACAACATAAAATTCAAAACCTGCCTTTTGAAGAAAAACTGGAGATGTTTCCTTGGCCACCAGCTGTAGGATATAGCTGCAGGGAGTTATAGAAAGCTGCAGGGAGTTTGCACTGTCACCCCTGATGTTCACTGTTTTAAGTGACTAATCGATTACCTGGACCAGGTGAAGAGTGTGAAGCTAGCATTACACATACAGCTACATTAATGTGAAATATGGCGTGTTGAATTGCCTGGAGTAGTTCTCCTGCAGCACGGTTTTTTGTTTGGCCCAATTACTGCATTCACATTGAATTGACAGGAAGAAGCAAGAGCATTTTGCTAATCACTTTAATATTTTTTACACACGGTATATCATGCTTCAAAACTATCTGTTTTTATGACTGTATTAACTGACATTGCTCATGTAGCCCGACGAAGCCTGATGACATAGACACGACCCCTACACTGTTTCAACCAGTGACTGTCTTTCTCGAGTGACTGAAGAAGCAAACACACAAATATCTAATACACAAAACAAAGTAAACATGAAAGCAGCAGGAGTCGTCTAGACTGTTCAGTAATACTGTGATTACTCTGCAGAGCAAACACAGCTACTCAAACCTACTGTGCATACAAATGGAGTTCAGGAAACTGAGAAGAACAGGTAAGTGCTCAGCTGGATTATCATCTAATTTCAACTGTGTGAAAATGTGAAACAGCACCATGAGCACCGTTTTTTCGTTTAATTATCTTCTGGTCTTGCATTCGTCGTGTGTTTTTCCACAAAGAAGCTTCTCCGTACTTACAAAAAAACTGATGTAACTTCAAAATAAAGACTGAACAATCTACTGAAACAGCTTGAGTGAATACTGCCTGTTCTTTGCTCTGCATCACGGTGATAGACCAAATGTTAATTTCTTTCTATGTAAACCCCCAACCTTTAACAAATACACACAATTTTTTCCTTCATAAATGAAGAAAAACTTACTGGATCATGTCTTCCTCTTTCTCCACCTTGGCAAAGGTGGCCACTTTGTTCTTCAGCAGGTACAGATGTCCTGGACCTCCCTGCGGAAAGGTGTTTGCATTATGATAGGTTCCTTCAGACTGCATGCTTTAGAATTTAAAATGCTTTAGGAAGTAATGATGATGGTATGACTGTGGCTGCAGATGTGTGTAGTCTTTATCTGCTTTTAATAATCTGAAGAAAAAAGAAAAGGATCCAGTTTCACCTACAGGATTATTAATAAATCTAACAATTTTCTATTACATACCTGAAAACATAAAGCCTAAATATTATATTTAATATTAATAATGCCTAGTATACGGTATATCATCGAGGTAGGAGACGTGTTACATTATTCAACAGGACTACAAATGCAGCATGGGGGTGGGCAATACTATTAACAGGTAAGAAGGAATAAAACAACATCTGCAGCGATGGTTTACCTCATCATGTATTTTCACCTGTCACTACAATAATTTAAAATATTGGTATTGTGATTTCTCTATTACCAGTGTTGAATGCTTAGTGATTGTCCCATCATTTTAAGGATAAGTGCTTCTTTGCCATGTTTGATCACTTCGGGGGGAATTCCATCCTCTCCTGGGACCTTGAGACTTGAAAGAAAGTAGATAGTCTTACATAGTTCTTGCATCGTTGGTTCCTTGTCCAGTTCTGCTAGAATGGGCAGTTTGCTGATGGTGTCTAGGGCAGCATCCATAACTACTTTTTGAGTGGAGTACAGTTCTAAATAGTGCTCTACCCGTTGCTCCACCTGCTTTTTCTGGTCAGTGATGAATTTGTCAGATTTGGATTTGGACACTCGCAGTAACTGATGTGCCTGTGTCCTTCTTAATGCCTGTATGCATGCCGCTGGTATTTCCGCAGTCGCCTTCACACTGGATCCTCTGACGTAGCTTCAGCCAGAAGTCATTGGCACAGCATTGGGCCGTCTTTTGGCAACTACTGCGTGCGGCTCTCAGTGCATCCCCTGTAACTTGACATGGACTGCTTACATGGGCGAAGTGCACAGCACAGTTGGCGTCTACTATGGGCTCCAATTCCTGCCAGTTGGTTTCAAACCAATCCTGATTGTGATGTTCCTTCCTCCTGGATTGGTACAGGGCGGTGCATACATGAGTCCATTTAGATTCAGCTGTCTCTGCAGCTGAACAGCCATTTTCAAAAGTTTTTTTTCCAGGGAACTAAGACGCTTTTGTACTCTGAGTGGACATGAGGCTTGGCTGGCACTGATACACAGGAGGCACTTCGTCTTGGAGATGTGTAGCTTGTGTGGAACGAGGCAAAGGATGGAACAAACAAGGACGTGATCGCTGTCGCAGTCGGCGCTGTGCATGCTTCTGGTGTTGCGCACGTGGTTCAGATCTTTTCCTGGTCAGAATCAGGTCATAGCCGGTGCCATCTGTTGGATCTTGGGTGGTGCCATGAAACTTTTGCCTCTCCTTGTTCTGAAAGAAGGTGTTGGTCACCACCAACTTGTGGAAAGAGCAAAGCTCTAAAAGCCTTTGGCCATTCTTGTTCATCTTACCAATACCATGATGGCCAATGACAGAAGGCCAAGCTTTTTTTTTTTTTTTACCGACCCTTGCATTGAAGTCTCCCATGATGAAGAGTCCTTCCTTGCTGGGCACACTCTTGATGGTCGAGTCAAGGGAGTCATAGAACTGGTCCATCTCATCCAAGGAGGAACATAGCATTGGTGAGTAAACGCACACAAAGTTGACTACACCTGTTCTGGTTGTCATCCACAAGGTCAGAAGTCTCTCTAAGCCCCCCAATGGTGGGTTGATGGTGGACAGCAAGGAGGTCTTCACTGCAAAGTCTATGCCACAGAATATATGCTTGTTATGTCTTTTCCCCTGCCAGAAAAACGTGTAGTTCTGTTCTTGAAGCAATCCCACGTCCGGCAGTCTGGTCTCTTGCAAGGCAGCAATGTCGACATTGAGATGGCAGTGTTCTCTGTCTATTACAGCGGTCTTCCATAGGTCGTCCATTGACTGAGGGTCGCGATTAAAACTGGGACACGTAGTTCTTACATTCCAGCTTGATATTTGAAGCGCTGGCATCTTCATAGTTAGTAAACGATGTTTGCCAGGTGCGTGGATTTGCAACCTGCCTGTCAATTTTGTCCTCGCTCAAAGCACCCAATGGAGCAAGCAGGTTGTGGCGGGGTAGTACCTTATTGTCCGAGGGGCTGCCCGGATTGAGGCGGGTGGTGACTACCCAATGGAATTAAAGAATTCCTCCCACCGTCGAGAGCAGCCCCTAGCGCCCAGCTCTAGGCCACATGAGCATGGGCTTATAACCGGACTGCTGCTCCCTGTGTTATGCCTATGCTGAAAACAGCGAAGCTGGAGTGGCCTCTCCAGGTTCAAGCCTGGGTAAGTTGATATGGAGGACAGATTGTTGCCCATGCAGTAGGTTCCCTCTCTCCTCGCAGCTGATGGGGTCCAGGGAAAATGCAAAGCAAGTATGCCTGGCATCAGGGCGACACAGGAGCTGCCGGAATGAGGTTGTAACAACAACGGACTGCTTAACAGACTCCAGCTCCAGATTTATCGTCATGGTTTTCTCCCAAAGTCTCTCCCACGGATGGATAAAGTCGCGAGGCAGCGGCGGTTGATTTTGGAGATGAGTTGCCAGCCATGGTTGTGTGGCCTTATCTGCCCTGGTTTAAAGGTGTCAGAATTGGATGGCCTAACCCGGACAGGGTATTGCGGCGGTTTGAAATCAGAGTTTTTTTTCTCCTAGGTGGACTGCCAACCAAGGCTAACGAGCTCCACCTACCCGGTAATAATTGAGGTAATTGTTTGAATATTATATCATCAGTTTTTTCCATCAAAGCAGCTTTACTGGATGTTTTTTTTTTCTTTCTTTTTTTTAAACAAATTATAAATAATTCTCTATTTCATAAAAGCATCTTTCGTAATTATACTTCAATTACATCATTTTTTTTTTTACAGAAGTGATGTTGTCACTACCCTGCTTTCTGTCAGCCAATCAGACACACTGTTATTCAGAAGGCTGTAACATAAAATTAACTAAAATTTTGTTTGTGATGCCACAATTGGTTGGCTATCACATGTAACCAGACTGACGTGCTGCTACATACACAAAGGTCCTTGAAGGAAAGCTGCTCCACAGCACAGAGACCTTACACTGGGGGAACGGTTCACCATTTTAGCACAGCAATAAGCAGAGAAAGTGTCTTCTGGACAAGTCTGACTGTTCTTGGGTGGCTGAGCCAAACTTAGACCCTTGGTATATCTGAAGATGGCAGTTCCCATTCAATCTGATTTGGTCTATCACAGGGCTACACATAGAGACAAACTAGTACACTCACATTCATATTTACAGACAATTTCGAATCACCAATTAACCTCAGCATGTTTTTAGACTGTGGGAGAAAGCTGAAGAATCCGTAGAGGAACAACGAGAATGTAAACTCCACACAGAAAGATCACAGATGTCCTAACCAAGATGTGAACTGGAGATCTTCAAGCTGTGAGGCAACGCTGCTAACCACCGAGCCACCGTGCAGCCTGTAAAATGTCTAGATGAGTTAAATCAATGGGATCCATTTCATGTTAAATCCTTAGCAGAATAAAGCCTGAAACAAGCGATGGATTCTGAAAACTTTCAGAAGCAATACCACATTTTATTTATATTGTAGTTAACTTTATAGTGCCACACATTTATTGAATATTAAACACTGGGAACTGTCAATGTGTGCAGCCTAGTTTTTTCCTCTGTGGGAACAGAGTCATCAGCTTAGCATGTGTGGTTGAAATTTTGTTCTTTTAAAAGCTGAAACAATTTATTTATATTTTTGTTTTTATTTTTTATTTTATTTATTTATTTTGTTTTAATCTAAGCTGCCAACAGTGAATACTTGTCACAAAATATAATATCCAATTTTAAATATATCAGTTTTAAGAAATAAACATATCAGCTGATATGTGCCATCCTTTAGTTTGTAATTGCTAGTTTGAAAGTGGTGAAACACTTACTGTCACAGTCATTTAAAATCGGGGCCCAATAATGTCAAAATATTTCTTAAATATGTCTGTGCTGTCACTGACCTGACAGAAAATGAGCATGTTCCAGATTTTGCAGCCTTTTCTGTAGGCAGTCAGCTTTTTCTCGATCTCCTCTGGGGTGAGAGACAGTCAGAGAGAGGGAGGAGAGAGGGAGAGAGAGAGAGAGAGAGAGAGGGAGAACGAGAGGTGTCACTTTTCCCACTCAGCCATAATGGTGAGACACATAAATTGGCTGTCCCTCGAGAGAAACACACACACGAGTAGAAAAACAATGAGTCATCTCTGCACTCCAGCAAGCTCAAACTTATTCCACCCTCATCTTTTCCACATTTACACGAGAGCAATTTTCACTTGCGCCTCAACGTTTAAAAAAAAATAGAAAAGAGCCGTTGCACTCACCGAGGATGTCATCAAACGTGGCGTGTTCGTGGTCCTTTAAATGGAATATTAAAACAGAATTAGTATTTCATCAAACCTTGCAGCGAGGAACCTAAATCAAAGTGGACTGATTTTCTACACAAAATGTTAATTTACAGCAATTAATGTAAACAAATATTGTATAGGAATTACTATAAGAGAGCAAAATTGGCTTACAATTTCAGAACATTAGACTCTGAAACAACAACAGAATAATTTAAATTTACATTAGGTGACAACTGATGATCTCAAACCACTTCTCTACTGTCCTTTATGTATGTTTTCATATAGATGCGTGTATTACATTGTTTCACTTAATTTTTTAAAATGAGTTATCGTTATGTAATAGAGTACTTATCATACAGTATACAATGCTGTAGGCTCTAATTTGCATAATATACAATATTGTAGAATCCTAACCCTAACATTTAAATGTATTAATAGTGTGGAGGTATCCTGGCTAAGCTAGGCACATCTATCTATAAATCCCTCCATCTATTTAGTTCTGTGCATGTTAGCATTCTAGCGTCTGTTAATGCGCTGTAAACACAACATACAAGGCTGATAGAATGTCATTATAGTTTCACAGGTTTTCAGTTGTAAACCAGTACAGCACAAATAAGAAGTCTGACTCACTGATGGAATACATGAAGAGCTAATGGAAAGCCACCATTCTCAAAATTCATCATGAGGGAAACAAGAATGTCTGTAGCAAACTGCATGGCAACCCCACCAACAATTTTTGAGATATAAGCTAAAAGCTGACAAAACTAGAATGAGCATTCATTTGCAAAAGAAACAGACCTACAAAGAACTTGGAGATGAAACAGTGGATTCATGTTAATCTTCTGCTCCAGTCACAAATAACTGAAATTTGGCAGCGCTTGAAAGAATGTTGCACAACAACCTTGTAGTGTTTTCATCTTTTTCTAGACAAAAGTACCAGCTGGTGTGTGATAAAAAATTGCTTTTATATTTTCATCTGAGCAGACGACCTACATGGTGCCACTTAACACAACCTCACAGCCAGATTGCCATGAATCTGTATATTGCGGAGGAGAGACATCACCTCGAGTGGATGACTGACGGAGTTCTCCTCTACTCAGAACTCCAGGGAGAACTTGACTGAACAAACCCAACACTTATTGAGTGAAGTTGTTTTCTGATGAGTTTGTGGTAATAAAGGGCCAGTGCTAATGGCCACATCATTTAAACTGCATTTATAGATTGGGGATTTTTATGGCTAGTTTTTGTCTATCAAGGCATGAGTTAGCTTTGCAAGGAAAACACTGGGATGCGCATCATGCGGTCTGTGTGTCACCTTTAACACCTCCAACACTGTCCAGATTGGAACACATTTTCATGGTCCTCAGAGGATGAATTCTAATAATGTTTGTCATCACCTGCCTTCATCTAATGACACCAGATGTTCTTTTTTTCACATGCATACTGAAACAATACATGCCACATATGTGCTTCTATCTAGAGCTATCGAGCCACCATGATCTGGGTGACAGATGTATTCACAACAGTCCTCTAAACTGTAGCAGGTAACATAGTAAGCAAAAATGTATAAAACAAAGCAAACAATTGTTATTGTTTCAGATTCCTCAAAAACAACAAAAT